TACCTGTTAATTTACCGGGAGGTCTCAGGCGGTGGAGTTATCGACAAAGTTTCTCTATAGTGTGGCTTTTAATTGCCCAACCACTAGAAAATAGGAAGTGTTTCGTTCGGTACTATAGTACTGACAGAATTATCGAGGAATCTAGGGCACGAGGCACAAAATTGATAGGGATAGACACCTTCATCACGATAATATGAAGATTTATACACTGCAGGTTTTTTCAGTCCCAACTTTGCTAATGATCTTTGTTGGGCTTAAGCATGTAGCACTTAGGCCTAGGAATTCATATGGACTGCGAAAATTTGCTGTTTCACATTAGTGCACTAATCCTATCAGCTCGATTAAATGCTAAAAATCCGGCAGTTTTCCATTAGTCTCTTTTTTTTTATTATTTTTTGTTATCCCAAACAGTTTTTCAAAAAATTCAAGAAAAAATTAAATCGCGAGTGAGAAGATTTTAAGGGGGAAAAACGAACAATTTAAAAAATTTTATGTTATGCGAAAATGTTTTTTTTTAAAATTCAAGTGAAAAGTTTTTTTTTTGGTTTTCTCATTTTTTGCATTCTTCAGTAATCGAGAAAAGGAAGAAATTGAACGAAAATTTCGACGTCTGAACGAAAGATTTGAGCGACTGGATGCAGAGAAAAATGAAACGCAAAATGCAATTGAACGCTTGCAGAATCAAATTCAGTCGATTCACGCGTAAGTTTATAGAAAAATGAGTTCATTTAATAATGCCCGGCTAAAGAGCATGCACAGTGACAGATAGTGCTGCTGCTGAGCTGGTTATTGAGGATTCTTTTCCGCTAGCGAAACGATTTATCTACTTATTTCGATTGTAAATTGGTACCGACGCATGCCGAGGGTCAAACTTGCCATCAGTTTGATTCAAAGATGAGGGCTGTTGGCAACCTGATCAATAATGATCGGTATGGATACTTTTTTCCGCACGGGCTATTTCTAGGTGCTTCTTGTTTAGGATGAATTTTTAGGGTTTTTTGATTTTTGGATTGTTCTTTATTCACGTCATTTTTTGTTGAATGTTTTTTCACTGTTAGCATTTGCAGCAATCATCAGGAAACATTAAACGAAATGCTAACGAAACAACGCGTGGAACTTGACGAGCGTCGAAAACGTTTTGAGAATGAGCTGGAGGAACGAGACATGGACAGCACACAGAGGCTATCCAATCTGAGGAATGAGCTCGAGAAGTATCGAAGTGAAATTGAACAACTCAGAGAGCAGCTACGAAATGCACTGGCAGATTGTGTTACGGAACGTCGAAGAGTGAGTGAAAAAGGTATGCGAAAGAACTTCATTTCTGGTCTATTTTAGTTAACATCGCTTCCTTCAGCGGGAACCCAGGAAAAGCCGGCAAAGAAAAATTCGACACGGAAGAAGAGTACATTGTATAAGAGAGCCGATATACACAAAAAAAGGAAATGCTTCCAGGCTGTTCCTGGGGTACAAAGGCCGGTGGTGTAGTGGTCTAGCACGTCGCATCCAAATGTGAAGCGCAACAGGATCGGTTCTTTTCCGACCTCTACTCGTTTGCAAAAGAGTCCCATCCACGATACGTTCTTGGTGTTGTATACTATGGTAGAAATTGTAGCACATATTTATTTCATAGCTTAAGCATATTATTTAAGCATGTACATATCAAAATTCTAGGACACTTGGAATGCTTGCAGTTGCTGCTAATTGGTGGTCTGCTTTTCATACTTTTTTGCTTATATATAAATTGCGGAAACGCACATTGCAACGACCCTGTCTGTGTGTGTGTATGTGTGTGTCTGTTTATTCGCACTTTTTGTCACTCACTTTTAACTCGATAACCTGAAAAACTTTGCGAGTATGTACCCATACCATGCGCGACTGTCCCGTTTTGATATCATCTTCCGCAATAAGCCTGGGTACCACGTACGGACGCCTTAAAAAATATGCAAATTTTTTGGCCGGAAAGCGATCTCGAGAACTAGACAAAATAAGGGGTTGAAACTTTGTAGGGATGTTCCCTGTGCATATTTGAGCTAAAGGTTTAAGCCCCGAGGTATGTGTGGTACTTACCCGAGGGCGTATGAAAGTTTTAGGAGGGGATTTCTAATTCAGGGACCAGAAAAGCTGAAAAGCTGAAATTTTGAGATAATGTCCCCTGCCCAAGTACAACTTAA